TCAGGGAACGGGTCCACACTCTCTGGTTCATGTCCGGCAGAAATAGGGGTACATCATCTGCACCGGTGCAGCCATCATCACATGGCTGGAGAGGGTCTGACTCTGCGGAAGAGGTTATTTCCAGCATTTCAAACAATGCACCACTACTTATCGAAAGAATGTTTGATGGAGAACTTGGTTTCCTTCCTACCACAGCCTCGTTATTTTTTGTAGGAATCTCGAGTAAGGTATCTTCCGAAGAAATTGGACCTAAATTTGGAACATTATCGTCCGCTACGGCAACACTCACATCAGGCAAATTTTCCTCTAAGAGTTCTCTTGCTAGTCGAACGTAACTACTTGAATCGTTTGCAGCACACCTCTGTGAGCATAATCGAACAAGTCGTTGGGCCTGAGGGTCAGACTTTCCCACACGCTGGTAGTGCGCCATAGCTTGCTTGTAGCATCCTTGACGCATAGCTGCGAAACCAAGTCGAAAATGCTTTGCTGCGGCTGGTGTATTTTCCCCGTGCATCCTCAGTAATCGCAACTCAAACAACACAACTGGTAATGTCGAGCACGGCATGAGGACACAATCAACTGGAAACGCTTGAAAGACTTGGAGGTTGGAAGCTATGCCAGAAGTAGCCGCGATGTGACAATGTGTCCCACTCATAGCCTTCGTTAGTTCGAATAGATATTCGGTGCCAAATAGAACACGCGCATTTCGTCCAAGAGCGCCGCACGTCCCCACCAAAAATTCATTGGACTCCACCAGAATAGTAACATATTCTTGCTCTTTTGGAGTGAGTTTGGCCAAAAGATCAAATGCAAAGCGGCAGCCTTTAGTCGAATGCATCGGAAGGGTTGCGTGTGCGCCGAAACTCACAATACTCTTTTCCGGTCCAAGTAACTCAATGCAGCCAGATTGCTCAGTAGCAGTAGCAGCCAATATGCTCATATACCTTGAATCGTCGCTGAGCTGTGGTGCATGAATCTCAATGGCCACGACGCTGCAGTGCTTGGGGGTAAACATGTTGAGTTGTTCCCTGAAGATGCCACTGTTAAGTCTGACATCGCGCTTTATATTGATGGCATTTCCCATATTCTGCGGAGAGGTCCTGTCGTTGTTGAGAAGCAATTCTGCGGGATCGGTTAAATTCTCACCAATCGCCACAGAAGTGTTTGACGTCCCTTCGGAAGCGGAATCAACGAGGGCCAGTATGGCTTCGGGTACGAACTTCCGAAGAACCCGCAGCTGACGTAGAAGTTTCACATAGTCTGCCTGTATCTCTTCAACCTCCAATATTCGTGATCGACTCATCATTTTGCCGTCGTCCGTTGACAATTCCAAATTAGACGCACGTTTTAGCGCTGTGACGAGATGCGTCAAGGGTCTCGCCAGGTAACAGGACCCTATGAAGGCGATGATGGCTGAGAAAACAACAATTCCAACTACCACAATGAGTACAATGGCACGTGCTCGAACAATTCCCGAAAAGAAATCTGAACGCAGAACGGCCACTGACAACATGATATTCAAACCATTTTTATCAGTGACGCGGGCAACACTGGCCCTCACGTTACTTTTTTCGAATGGGAAACTCATTTCGGCTGTGGTGTTTATGAGGTCATCGAGCCTATCTTTATTGGATTTGATATGATGTACAAGGTCAGCTGCAAGGGGATCCTTTATATCCCCAAGTCTTAGGTAGTCAAAGTTCAACCATTTGGACTCGTTTCCAATCCACCACGTCGTATTTTCTCCCCAACTGTTCAGAATCACGACGTCCAGTGTGTCGTCAAAGAGCATCACACGTCCATGCTCACGCAAAGCTGCTATGAGCGGCTGTGATTCCTGTAGAATACGACGGGTTCGCATGCCAACCTCACAGTTTCCAGAAGCGTTATTAATACGGAATGGTATCACGAAGTTAAAGTACAAGCCTGTACGAGTAATTTCCTCCGGAAGCCAACGTTTCGTACTGCCGTTCTCTTCCCAAGGGGTCACAATCATCTCAAACGTTCCGTTTGGTCGAGTGAGGTCTGAAGAGATGTTCCAGTAGCCCAAAGGCTCAGACGATAGAGTAACCAACGTTGACGGATCATACATCAACACAGGAGCAGAGGCAATTTCATCCTCGTGTCCGCCAAGCAGACCCACTGGTTCTGGTTGGTTTACCCAGAGCGGTTCTGTTGCAACACCGTAGAGGTTTCCCTTATACAAAAATTTAAAGAAGGAAATTGTATCACTGAACGTCGAGAGGACGCTCAAAAGTGAATACAAGAGAGATTGGGAGTCCTTGGGGAATGCATCCACAGTATAGGCGGAGGTCTGATTTCGCATATAGTTTGCAGTTACCGTATGAGCAAAATCGGGGAGTTGTAATATAGTTGACCGCATAATAATTATAACACCCCTCACAGCCTCCATCTGGATAAGCTCCGCGGTGCCTGAGACGTATCTAAAACCAATGAGGTGCCCTGGAAGGAAGCCAGCAAGACCCACTGCAATCACGCCGACAGATATAACAAGCGCCACAGCAGCCACTGTGCTAATAAGAAAGCCGCGGTCACGCCCTTCTTGGCGTTCGATATCCTCCGGCTCTGCGACCACTGTTTTCTCACTTTCTCTATCCACTGCGTCTATCTCACGGCTCTCGTCATATAGCGAAAATGATGGCATGGAATGAATGGAGTTGGTTTTGGGTATACAGTTGCCTAGCGGATTCTGCGTCAAATCATCACCAGGGGCTTGGGACACCAGGACCGTCGACGACCCTTCTACTGCTTCTGCTTGATTTCCCAAGGACTCCGTTGTCATTTCCCCCCTTACTTTTGCTTTTCACTTGATAAAATAACACAATATCAACAACAATAGAAAAGGTGTTTTTTTTTCTTTATATTGGGCACATCAGAGTGTTGAAGCGGAAATAGACGCAAGGCCGCCAATCCAGCGATTTTATAGACAGAATCCCATCCCTGGTACAAAAAAAATAACACAAACAACAAGAATAAAGAAGATAAGACAGTACCAAACAAAAAAAAAAATACACCAAAAAGTATCTGTGGCACCGAAGGATCTCCTTAACGACCTTCTACACTCATAATCGCCTCCCATGGTACGGGACTGGTCAACACCACCTGCGATATATCGGGCACCGACGCGAGCGCACAGCGCAAACGACCAAGGTGCCCAACAAAGTGGCTCGGCCGCAGCGTCCAGCGACGCCCGGTAAATGAGGCCTGTGTAGCAAGAAACAACTCCTCCGCTGTGGTGGTATCACCGTAGCGAAGGGGAAGCTCCGAGACACGCATATTTCGCATTCTGTGAAGAAAAGCAACAGACGGCAGGACAAGTTTGGCGTCGTTCTCACCATCAACTCTAACAACCGGCCATTCAACCCCTTGATAGCCACAGGGTGACAACACCTCCTCGAAGCCACAAACAATACCACTACGTCCGTCATTGAACGCCACACGCGAACCACGCCACAGATGAATCACCCGGTTGGGCATATCGAACGAGGCTGATGTTCCAGTCTGAGCTATAAGGGCCCACCCAATTGCCTTCACACATTTGACAATATCACTTAAAATGCGCCTCATAACACATATCTCGTCAGATAAAAAAGAGAAACACAACGCCGCGCGCTCCACGCCTTCTCGGGCATCACACACATCAATAACAGTAACTTCCCTCTGCGCGACAGCCTCGACGGCAGTGCGAAGCGGCTCCAAAAGGTTGCCGCAAAGATCAGGGGGCAGCATCCGCTCAAAGATGTACATATCAGTCCAGAGCCTCCCGTTAGCAGCCGGTAGCCACTTCGAGTAATAGGAGCGGATATCAGCCACACCAGCAGTCAAGGCAGCGTCTGCTGAATTACTAAGACGTGATGCACTCTCAGACATCGCATACCACTCTGGAATGATAAGCGGGTATTGGATTTCACCTGGAAAAGAGTATCGGAATCCTACCATTTTAGCCGCCGCTCGATCGCCCTGTTCCAACGCCCGTAGCAACTTTAACGTCTTCTGGTGGGAGTGGTGGAGTTTCCACAGAGTGAGTGTTCTCAGACGGCGTTTAACACCATGATGGAGCAGCGCCTCACGCACCGCGGCAGCAGAACAAAGGTCTGTGTTAACAAAGAAAACACAGGAAGAGGAAGCATCAAGATGTTTCAGCTGACGAAAGAGGCGTCCCAGTGAGGAGACCAAGAGTGGTACCGGTACGCGACACCTTGAAACCCCAGCCTTCGCAGCAATGTGAGGAAGTGCATCATAGTAGAGACGCAGTCTATGCCCACTATGGCCCTGAACTAGAAGTGTATCTCCATGCCTGAGGATCGATGCAAGCACCTTTGTTTCTTCATCATTCATGTGAACTAAATGCCAAACTCCAGAACATTCAATTTCAAAAAAAAGGCAAGAAGCATACAGAGTGGAATATAAAGCAAAAAAAAAGCTATACAATTCATACATAGACGAAAAAAAAATTTCAAATAAGAATCATAATATCACAGCATATATATAACGACTCAACATCCACCCACACAACACGCAGTACGCTTTCATAATCGGAACGCACGAAACCAACAAAAAAAATTACTCTACTAAGCGCTGAAACAGGAACAAAATCCGTTACAAAACAAAGGCATATGAAAGGAGGCCCAAGGCAGAGGGTCTCATTGAGGGGTCAGGGTGGCAGCAAGAGCGCACGAAAAACGCCGCCTCGCGGTCAAGAGAGTCGGGGATCTCAGGCTCCAGGTGCCCGCGGGCAAGGCTCTGCACAAGCAAAGTGTCTCGCTTAAGTACAATATGCAGAAGCGCCGCATCACTCCCTTCAGGAGCCTTGCTGCTCCACCGCCACGGCAACCGCCCAAGCAGCATCTCCAGCAGCGAGATCCCCAGCGAGAAGATATCTGACTGGGGCGTGCAGCGTCCCCCACCCGCTACCTCAGGGGCCATGTAGAGCGCTGTGCCACGCAGTGTCACCTCATCCACCATCGTCCGCGCCATATCCGTTGCTTCAGAGATGGTCGAACCGAAGTCCGACAGTTTGCACACTCCATCCATTCCCAGTAGTACATTATGCGGTTTCACATCGCAGTGCACGATGCCAAGGCTGTGGAGATAATTCAGACCGTTCAGAATGTCCACAGTAAACCGCCGCGCCACCAGTGGGCTCACACGCCCAAAGTTCTTTATCACCGTGTGAAGCGATCCACCAGGGACGTATTCCATCATGATGGCGAGGTGGGACTTCACCACGCTGCACGACACGTACTGAACAATATTCGGGTGACGAAGCTTTGACGCAACGTTCATTTCCGCCTCCAGTGACTCTTGCATGATGTCACGCCGCCGCCGTGGGATGCACTTGATAGCCACTTGGACACCGTCCTCCGACATTCCAAGAAACACTGCACTGAACGCCCCCTCACTGATCTTGTTCAGGGAACGGGTCCACACTCTCTGGTTCATGTCCGGCAGAAATAGGGGTACATCATCTGCACCGGTGCAGCCATCATCACATGGCTGAAGGGATTCGGAAGAAGAAGAAGACTGATACATCTCAAATAGCGCTTCACTGTTTTCAACAGCTGATTCGTTTTGATCCTTAGTATCACATTTCATGTCGAACCTCTCATCTTTTTGTATCTGTTTTGTGTGGGGACACGCGTCATCAGATGGCTCTTCCAGTGGAGTACCTGGCGAGTACATGTTGATACTGTACGGATCATTCGACAATCGTACATAAGGTGTAGCGTCCTTCAGTAAGCACTTCTGTGCGCATAATCGAACAAGTCGTTGGGCCTGAGGGTCAGACTTTCCCACACGCTGGTAGTGCGCCATAGCTTGCTTGTAGCATCCTTGACGCATAGCTGCGAAACCAAGTCGAAAATGTTTCGCCGTGTTTATCATGTTTTGCGACGAAGAGCCCTGTATTCGAATCTCTGAAAGAACCACCGGCACTGATGAAGAAGACAGCAGAACGCAATCGACGGGAAAGACCTGACTCTCCTGAAGCTGAGTGGCCGTTCCCGCAGTGGCAACAAGACGGCACCCTAATTCCTTCACAACTTTTGTAAGTTCGTAGAGGTTCATAACGCCAACCACAACACGCGCGTTCCTCGAATGAGCACCACAAGTTCCAACGAGAAATTCGTTGGAATCCACTAGAATAGTGACAGTCTCCTGTTCCTGATATCTCAGTTTGGTAAATAACTCAATCGCGAATCGGCATCCCTTGATAGAATGCATAGGAAGCGGCGAGTGTGCGCCAAAGCTCACAAGTGTTCGGTCGGGACGCAAGTACTCCACGCAGCCGTTTAGTTCAGCAGCACAGGTGAGAATGTTGTGGAAGTATGCATCAAGTGAGAATGGTTGGGCATTTTCTATTAGTACTAACGTGCAGTACCGCCTCACGAACGCGTTAGGCTGCTCCTTGAAGACTCTACTATTGAGTCTCATTTCCTGCCGCAGCTTTGCAAAGCCATTTTGCTCCATGATCTCAATTTCCGATACTGTTCTCAGAGTTGAGTCCGACGGTTTTGTATGCATTTGTTTCAGTGTCTCAGAACCTTGACGAGAGAATGCACGTTCCCTGCTACCGCTGGGTGCAGCGAGAATAGACTCCGGAACAAATGTCTTGACTATGCTAAGCTGTCGTGTGAGTTCGGCGTAACCGTGTTGAATATCCCGTACCTCGGCAATGCTAGATTTTTGCCAGGCATCGTTGTTTTCGTCATCTTCACAGCAACCACCGCGGAGTTGGAGGTTTGATGCCCGTTTGAGCGCTGGGACCAAGTGCTGTAACGGCTTTACCACAAAGTACGCTATCACAATGGCGAACAATGCAACAATCCCAACTGATACACTCACGGCGACGGACACAACCGTGCGCGCCAAGAAGACATCGCGAAAGAAATCGGACTTCAATGTCGCAATGCACAATAAGATATCGAGGCCATATTTATCCGTCAGCCGCAGTATGCGCGCGTACGCAGCCCCTCCTTGGAATGTGAAGGAAAGCTCTTTTCTGTCAAATCCCTCCATGAATTCCGTAAAGTTGCCCTGACTACGCACTCGGTGGATCATTGTCTGCATAAGTGGATCGTTGATAATGTCAATCGTGAGTGGAACCCAGATCCAACTACCAGATACATTTTCTCGAGTTGATGATAACTGGTTCCAATTATTCGTTAGGACAATACCAGTTGTGGGATCAAAGACCATGACACGTCCATTGTCGCGTAAAGCCCTCCACAGCGCTTGCACAGTCTGTTGGTTGAGTGCCTCCCTTCGCATACCTGCCTCCCAAAACCCCAAGTTGCCGTTTGTAACGAAGGGCAGAACGTAGTCAAAGTACATAGATGAGATGTTAAAGCCCGTTGTAAACCAACGTTTTCTCCACGGAATGCCGCGAATTCTATTCTCATTCCATGGCAACACAACCGTTTTATAGGGACCATCATCCCGAGACAGGGTTAAGTTCAGACTGATGTTGTATGCCGCAAGGGTCTGTATAGGAACACTGTAGTTAGCCGTTTCAGGATCGATGCGGCATATGGGTACTGGCTCCAGACCGTGCATCACAGCTCCACCAATTTCTTCTTCATCAAGGAACGCGGCGGCAAGAACACCCCACGTATCATCAGCTGGTTCAGCCTTCACTACCAAGAAGTAGCCAACCATATCACGATATGTTTTTTTGGACAGAATGTTGGCCAAAGCAAACAAGAGCTTCGTTTTGCTCTCTGGGAAAAATGACTCATTAGATGAGGGTGCCATTATGTAATTGGTTGCAATAGTGTTGATGAGGTTTGGCAGTTGCATAACGGAATTGTTAACTGTGGCCAACAGACCAGTGACAGCTTGTGAGTGAACCATCTTGGTCGTACGCCAGGCTGCAGTGAAGCCGGTAAAATGCATGGGAAGGAAACCAACAAGTCCAACAAGAAGGACGCCAAGACTCATTACCGTGGCAATGACGACCATCGTCTTTATACGACAGCCGTCACTCCCTTTCTTGGCAGAGTCTGCAATATCTTCGTCACTTTCGCGCTCCATAGGATCTTCTGCCACAACCCCTGGAAGGGGCATGGTGAGCTTGAACCGCCTACCAGTTTCCAAACGACGATGAAGAATCTTCAATGCAAAATACAATGTTAACACTGAAGTGTATTTACTATAGGAGTGGAGGAAAGAAAGGTACAACAGAAGGATGGGTATTGAAGGATTTTCTGTTTTCATGATTCTAGAGAAACCACGACAGCAATCACGATAAAATCATATGGGTACCATGATCCATACTTTTCTTCTGTTATTCCTGCGATTGCACCCAACAACTTGTAGTCTTCCATACTCACTAAAACCTAACACCATCACAACCACATATACAAAAAACAAAAGGGACTCCACTTGAAAACTCACCCCGTAAACGCCTCACACAAACGACAACTTTTGGTTCAAATAGTACATGGAAAGGGCCGGGTACACAACATCTGTCTCGGACACGTTTGGTATGTGGCCAACAGCCTTCTTTTTGCCGCTCACAATGTACAACGTACGGCTAACAGCATCCCAGTCAAACTCCACAACGCAACCAGTTGAGAAGGGCATTTTGTCACACTTCCACGAGCCATAAGAGTCACCGGCACGCGAAAGGCACCACCCTCCAAGCTCTGATATATACTTATTCCCCATAGATGCTTCTTGCTGTGAACTCAGCCGCGGAAGCAGTCCCATCATGAGACCAGAACCATCATTGCCCTCGCCCTGATCAACGACTTTCATTGCCCATTGCTTCATATTCCCACCAAGGGGTGTTTTAGACCGTAGCGTCACCCATCCACCGTTTGTCTCCCTACATGCCACCGACGCGTTAATCACGACACCAGGGTGGGGAGTAGAGCCATCAATCTCCAATATCTCCAGAACCATCGTATTAAAACCTAAATGCTGGTCACAGAATGATAATACAATGAGGCAATAACTTCAGCGACAATAATAAAATGTTACAGCACCAATACATAGATAATATTGAGGCCCAGTTAGTTCAGTTTGAAATAGCCGAAGCTACCGGCAACAAATCATCACTCAATCGACCGTCACCCTCAACCCCTTACTCAGCCAAGCAGGATGCCCAGCTTGTCGAAAACCAGTATTTCATCCCCAAAATGACGTACAGTCATTAACGGAGCATCAGTTGTGCGGCCAAGCGACCACCCACCGTTTCGATGTGCCAACACGTTATTGTACCGCGACTTTGGGTGACGGTGGCTCGCCTTGGCATTCTCTCCATGATTCTGATGTATCGCCGTCAGAGTATGGGACGCTTCCAGTGTCAATGCTAGACCTTCCCGGGCACGCAAAACGGCCTGAGTGGTTAGCCAATTGTCAAATGCCGTACCACCAACAACAAAATCAGGTGCCTTCCTCCAGTCAAACATGTCGTTGTTCATAGCAAAGTAGTCCTCCGAGAGGGATTGGAACGGGACCCCTTCCGCTCTAAACGATACCTCCACATCCTCCTCCCAGTCAGAATTTAACGACCAATTCAACGGTATGTCAACGTTAATGCGGCGACCAACGGCAAACCATCCCTTGACGCTGGGCAGGCGATGCGCAACAGCATCTTTGTAGCGTCGTATGGCATGGATGGTTGCCACTGAGGAGCGCGAGAATAGAATATCCATGTTGGAGTACATGAATGCTTGGGCATCAGGGTACGCCAGCAATACACTCAAGAAAAGACCACGATATGTTGGTTGACCAAACTTCTCGTGACACTCAAATTCTTTTATGACGTCAATATGGTGTCCAACCCCTTTTGCTGCATTCTCCTGATTAATCTGCTCAATGAGTTTGTGGCTCAAGGGATCGTCTGTCAACACCACTGGCTGAACACCATCAATAAGCGCCCAGTTGAAAAGTGTTCGATTAACAATAACGAAAGGATCGTGTTTATCACTTGTGTTTGGCGCAAGCGATTTAAGGGGTTTGGGGGTCCCAAACAAAACAATCATGCCAGCTGGTTCATTCTGTGGCGAGCGCACCAATCCCCAGCAATCACGGGCGACAAAATTCCAGGCTTCGCCAACGGCAGGCGAACGACACGCCACACGAGGCTCAACATAAATCTCCCACTGGGCTGCAGCACCCAGCTCCTTCACGTCGCACTTCAAACGGTCACCGGAGACACGCACATAGCGACGCTCAGAGGCAGACCAAAGGGCAACTGTCCCTGAAGCAGACACGAAATCAAACCGCCACATCTCTGCGGACCTTGCTGCAGCCCGGTCCATCCCAACTCTTCCGTCACTGTGTGCAGACAAAAACATTGTGCTCCACGCCTGAATAGCATATGTATCTTTTGTCCGGCCACGAAGAACACCAACTGTTCTCTCAGAAACATCGTGGTAGACTCCGTTAGAGAAGTGTCCCAGCCAACGCCCGCCAACAGCGGAGCGAAGACGGTAGAAGCTCTCTGTTCTCATCTCATTTGAAGATGAGATACGCCTCCAGACCCTAAAATCTTCCGGTAGCAATGCGCTTGTCACGAACGTGTCTCTCGGATCAAGATGCGGCCCCACGCTGTTCTCCATTCGCCCTCCACGACGAAGCACAATAAAAAGTTGAAAAGCGCCCCACATGAGGATCACAGCTGCGTACAGCATACCAATAAGAATAAGCAACCTTCTTCTCCGCCATCGCCTGGCCGCCATGAGAAAAAACAGAGACTTGATGTCCCAAGAAAGGCCATCAAAAAAAAAAAAAAGAAAAATTTCGGAAGAAGATGCAGAAGCCCCCTTCTGCTATGTCCACCATTGCCGCTATGTAATTACACCCTCTCTATCTCTCCGGGAGAAGACCCACAGACACACAAAAAAAAATTACACAGTGTTTTGTGAATGGCCAAACCGTACCACTCATCTACTACTTCAAAGGATAATCCTCGGAATTTGTACTGAACCGAAATGATACGTCGTATCCCAGTGCGATATTCCCATACATCCAGTTACACTCACAGACACACATATTTCACGTTCTCCTCCTTGGAGCATTCAATGATTATCATGATGATATTTCTCACTTTAGAGGCTATTTGGGCAGTGGCAACTGCGCTGGGAGACTGCCATCGACACAACGCCGCACGAAGCCCACATAGGCCAGGTTCTCTGGACATGCAACAAGATAGTGCAATGTCTGAGCAAGCGTAGGGCAATTCAGAAGCTGCTGCATAACGTCAGCCTCATTCATAAGAACGACATTAATAGCCAAGACGCATTCGTTCCATGCAGCGTACAGGCCACGCAAATTGAGCAAAGCCTCCGCCACGCCAGGTGTGGAGTAGAGGTGGCTCTGCGCAGTGGTCCACAGCGTAGTGTCAGCACACGTACCCTCGGTCCCTGCAGCAGAGGCAGATAGAAAAACATGGTGGTAGCTCTCCATACACCGCAGACTTCGAGGAAGCCCGAACTCGTCGTGAATGCCACCAAAGAGACCCCGCATATGGGCGCAACCTGCAGATACCCTTGCTCCACCGTCTGCTCGCTCTTCTTCCTTCATGTTCTTCTTATCCTCATCCTCCAGCCCCCCTTCTTCTTTCATATTCGCACCAATAAACGCTAAGCCTGTCTCCATCGTCATCTTCCTCGTCGTCACCTTAACAAATTGTGGCAGAGACAGAAAGAGTTCCTGTAAAATCTCCCGAAGCATGGCCAAATGCCCCGACAGGAGCGACTCCGTGGCCACACACTCCACGGCCTGCCTAACCTCTGGGTAGTTCCGGAAAATGAATTCAATGGCGCAGCGCCGCCGCATTGTGTCACAGGAGTTGGATGACCCACACTGGAGCTCTTCTGACGTCAGAAATAGAAGTGGCTCTTTCTCCAACACGGACGCACTTGTTGAATCCCGCTGAAATCCAACCACACTCCAAAGTCTTGTCCACATGTCATGGTTTGCGCTTTCACTTCCTTCCACCGTAGGCATAACCAGCTCCACGTGCAGTAACGCAGTAAAGCGCAGTAAGTCATGAACCAAATGAACATTTCGCTGCCGCACGGCAAAAATCAGCAATTGTGCCGCGCACGTCATTGCGTTTGCCAACGACTCTGCCGAAGCGCCATTGTCAGACGGAGTTCCATCCAGCATAATGACACGTAGCAAATGTGCAGCCTCCTCAAATCGCTGGTTTTCGACACACTCTCGGAAAAAGTCCACTGGGGATCCTAAAACGTCAAGAACAACCCGCCAGCGGGAAACGTCCTCTTTCCGCACGCAGCTAACAACCACACCATAGAACTCGGAATACCGCCTCAGTAACGACACCGTAGCCTGAACAGCGGCCCTCCTATCCAGGTGGTCGATACCCGCTGGTGGGGTCTCGTCAATGAGGGTGTGAAGAAAGTAATCCATATTAGGAACAAAAGTGCCGTTTGATCTCATTCGCTCAAGCCAGTAGAACAGACTATCACCCCACACAAGAGGGGAAAAGGGAATAGCGCCACACGAAGCACGCTTTCCATTAAGTACATCTGCACTTGGCGAGCCCAGGCGCGTCAACGCTGTCAAAACACGATAGTTGTACAGAAGAGGTTTTACCGCAATGCGTGGGGACGCAATAGATGGCACATCGGTAACAAAGCTGAAGACATCACTCGCCCTGGAAGCTGTGAGGAGGCAGCCGTCGCGAGTGGAGAGCCCAACCGGAAGATAGTCCGAGTCAAAGTTCTCCACGCTGTACTTATATACCTCGGGGAAACAGTCCATACCATCTCTGGAACTGAGAAGGTGAAACAGATCAACGCCATTTTCACTGAAGAGAAGAATTGCATTACCATCCATCGGCACCGTAGAGTCAATCCAAAGGCAGTAAACGCTTTTGGAGCAAAGGGTCGTGAACGAAAGTGACACCCCTGGCACCTCCGATGATGTACCAAGGTCAAGTGCAACCAAGGCGTGGGAGCCTCGCAAAATAAACAAGGCATGAGGTAGGCTTGTTTCATTTCCGTTCATTGATTTCGGGAGTGAAGAATGCGTCGTCCGCAGGGGATGTAACCGACTCGGATGAATCGCGGTTATTGAAACTGGATTATGAAAGCTGCTTGGCAATTTTATACGCTTAATAAACTCCAGTAATACACCAACAGCGGGGGTGGAAGAAGGTCGTCGCGATGAGATAATACACCGCCAGACCAAGAGTGAATTAGACGAGTCCACCACAATAAGGAATGTATCGTGGCCTTCCCCATGACATTCACACACCTTCAGAGGCATCCGCTCTAGCGGCAGATGTGTCAGTAGTGCACTTGCATCCAGATATCCGTGAGCGTACACGCGCAGCGCGTAGGTACGTGAGCGTACCATTCGAACAGGCATCACCACAGCAACACTGTTAAGCCACAGCGGCCGTGCCACGCAGGTCATCTCTCGCTCCAGACTTTTGTCACGAAAGGCACGCCAACGCCGCGTGAAGCGGTCGAATAACACAAAGCCATGCCTCCCCGCCAACACCACAACAGCCCCGTCAGGGCTTACTGCTCCATGTGTCAATGGATAATTTTCAGCTGCATATTGCGGATGCACCTTGACAAGGTCGTTCAGTGTGAGGTCACCCACCACCGAGGAGTGCCCCGCTAGATGCAATCTTTCATTGTCGAAAGCAACAATAGGGGTAAAACAGCCCTTCGTATCCCCACTTGGACTTGAAACGATTTGATTGAAGTCCAATGCTGTCAAATTCTTACCTTGTGGCTCAATCAAGAAAAGCCGATGACTGTGGCTGCTCCACGAAAACGAAGCGCACCCTTCAATGATGCAGTGCTGTGTATAGGGAGCCTGCAGTGAGGAGTACACGCACACCCCACTGTAATGAACAAGTACCACACCGAGGTGGTAAAAACCGACACACAGCACCTCCTCGTCCGGACTCCACTGAAGGTCACTAATAGGCCCAATCCGTCTCACACTCTTTAGACACTTCAATCCGTTCCAAAATGGTCTAAGTGAGAGGTCCTCGTCAATCCGCTTGCATGCAACCTCCCCTGCGTGTGTGGCCACCATGACCAACATGTGTTTCGAATTTATTGCCACACGAGCAGCACACGGCGCAGCGCTGCACTTCCCTGAAAAGGCAATGTCATCCTTTGTGAAATCGCTTCCCACTTTGCTTCGGGCGAGAACAACGTATCCACTTGAAAGCAATAGTGCTGTCAGTTTTAGTGGAGAGGCATGGCAGGCGTCAATAATCGTTCCAGTTAGAACTTCTTTGCACGACAACTCCACACCTCCGTCCACGCCTTTGTTCGCAGCCTCATCCCCGGTGGCTGTGAAACAAATTTCTTTGCTCAGTGAATGGTAACTCCACGTGTGCAAAAGCTTCTGCTGAAACCAACCAATGACACAAACCACTCCAGAGGTTGTGCATGCGAAAAAGCAGTTCGGCCCACACATCGTCAATGATGTCACAATGCCAGCTTCTAGGCGTTCCTCTTTTGCAAAGCGAACACGCGGGGCAGTGGAGCTCACACAGAGTGAATGCTCGTGGTACGTCGGCGCCAGCACCTCCGCGTTCTTAATGTCGAGGGAAACTTCAAAAAAGATGACGCGTCTCTGCAACGTCGCGACAACAAGATGCTGACCTCTGGGATGCCACAGTATTTGGGTTGCTGGATCATCGTCGTCGGTAGTGCTAGGTATTGGAAACGAGCCGAGATAAATGACATCGTTGGTGCATGTCCACAGGTGTAAACGCCTCTGGGAAAGAACAACCGTACAGTTCCCAACAGGACTTGCTGACACTGCCACTACGCGTTCGTCCGCGCTCTCCACATGGGGTATAAGCGAGTAAACCTTTGGTGGGCCACTTGCAAAGTGCATTGGCAGCTCAACTTCACGGGCCCTGACAAGGAATTAGAAGAACGAAAGAGAGAGAGAGAGGGGGGAAGGGGGCAATAGAAATACAGGAAGGATAAGACTTTGACAGAATAGTCCGTGACACACACGCGCACACAAACATACAGACACACACACAGACGCCATAAGCAGTCGCGCTCACAGCTCCGGCCGCTTCAAATCAATCTGCCGCAAAGGCGGAGGGTGTGGCATCCAAACTGCCTGTCCCGCCGCTTGAGTACGCAACGGACGGGTGGGATGACTCAGGATCGCGAAACCGCTTCCGTCGCGCCGCGATCATATCATCAACCTTCTGCAGCCCGGTGTTTTTCCGCATCACGGCCAAAGCTCCAATCATCACAGTGATGATTCCATCACGCCGCTCCGTCGAGCTGCAAAGGAATTTGCCAGCATACGCATCCAGCTGACCAGTACCGTCCGCAGCAAGATACACAAGTGCCTCCGCTATTTCGTCCGCCGATACTTTGGTGCAGAGAGGCGTCATGAACGACAGAAGGAAAAGTCGGTGGGCGCATTCCAGTACACTCTTCTGGCTGTCCGGCACAAGCTCAACGATGCGTTTCATCGGGTGAATCACTTGAAAGTTAAAGCCTAGGGTGTGGCACACCAGCAACTCAGTTTCGAGCAACATGCGGCGCCACCCTTCCGCCTCATCGCTCCTCTCGCTAACCTCAAAAAAAAGCGAGACGACCTGATTTAAACGTATCTTGTAGTGCTCCACCTTGCTAGCGAGGAAGACACAAGACGCACTCAGAACGACTTCATCAAGCTTTTTCAGTCCATGCTGCATAACAAAGGTATGCCAATATGCCATGGAGGTTGCAATCACCGTCTCGTCAAGCTTCAAACTCTCTACGACGTACCTCGTCATATTGTATGCCTTCGCAGCAGTGCGGTAGTACGGCCTCCCAACATGAAACAGAGAACATGTGTTGCCCGCACCAACGGTCAGTGGCGAACCACACAGAGGAGAAGACCACGAAGGTCCACCACCAATTTCCATTGTTTCCCTTTCAAGAAAAGGGCCCTACAGTGATCGCAGAGCAAACACAAAGAAAAAAGCGAAACGCGCACTACGATACATTGCTGCACCACTGACCACCTAATCAAATCTAAGCACGCATCCAAGCACACAAATGCACACACACACAAAAAGCTAAATTTAGTCAAAACACGAAAAAAACACACAAGATTGCAAAAGTAAGCTCTACTTCGTGTGGGTCACCTTCTTGAAGTTGTGGGCGTCCATGAGCAGCTTCGCGCGATCCGCACGGCTCTTCTCCTTCTCAAGGGAGCGAGTGGAGAGGGCGACACGCAGCTTCTTCCCGCGGAATTCCGTGCCGTTGCGCTCCTTCACCACCTTCAGCGCAGCAGCGGGGGAGTCGAGGTAGACGTAAGCGTAGTTGTTGCGGTACGTGCGGAGGCGCAGAACCTTCAGGCCCTCGAAAAGCTCACGGATCTGCTTGTCCGTCGCCGACGTCCGGAAGATGGGGGAGATGAACACAACAGAAGAATTCTCGTGCGGGTCCGGCTTCGGGCTCGTCTTGGCGGGAACAACCGTCACAACATTGCCCATCACCTCCTTTTCGTTGAAGAGGTCAATCGCCTTCTTCACCGCGGCGGCATTCTCAAAGAAGATAATGGCGTAGCGGCGGCGACGCACCTGCGCGCTGACAATGTTTCCAGCGCTGCTGAAGATCGCCTTGGCGTCCGCCACGGAGCCCTGGCCCCAGTTCTTCACGTACACGCCGTTGTGGCTGCCAGCGGTGGCGCGCGGCTTCGTCTCCTTTGCGGCAGCCTTCGGGGCAGCTGCTGCTGGCTTTGGCGCAGCGGCAGCCGGCTTCGGAGCAGCCTTCGCGGCGCTCTTCTTGTCGTTCTTTGGCGCGGGGGCCTTCGCGGCGGCAGCAGACTTGGCGGGCATCTTATTGATGTTCTTGTTACTCGAAGGTCGAGGTGTGTCCTGTGGTGTGTTGGGTGCAGGAAGGGTGACGAGTAACAGATGTAACGAAAGGAGCTGCGCAAGTCTCATTGGCGCCAAGTGACACCACACAAGTGACGATGTTTACCAGATGTGTTTGCCCATCTTTAATAAGAAAAACAAAATCAAAAAGTCCCCAAAAAAACGTTAGAAAAAAAAAAAGGGAAAACTTTTCTTTTCCCGCAATGTAATATGGTCGATCTTCTTCACTTGCGAGCTGCACTGTAATTTTCAATAAACCATTTCACGGAACGGTTGATGCCTTCTTGCATCGGAGTAAACTTGTAGTTCGGCAGGTATTTTTGAAGCTTGCTGTTGTCTGCTGTCTTCTTAAACTGTCCGTCCGCCTTGGTGGTGTCAAAGATGATCTCACCCTTGAAGTCCATGGACTCAGCAATCATCTTGACGACATCCGCAATGGACACCTCGTCACTTTCACCAACGGACAGAATAATGGGCTCGACTTCAGTATACTCGCGCAACACCCAAATCATTAGCTCCGCCAAGTCCTCACTGTAAATGAACTGCCGAAGAGGCTTGCCAGTTCCCATCACCGTCATGGACTTGCCGTCCTGCTTTGCCATATAGAACTTGTGAATGAGACCAGGGACAACATGAGAGTCCTCCAGGTTGAAGTTGTCATGAGGTCCATAAATATTCGTAGGGATAACACAAGTAAAGTTGCACCCGTACTCGTTACGGTAGGCCCGGTTCAAGACGTCCATCATGCGCTTTGCGTACGCGTATGCCTCGTTGGAAAAATGTGGGGCGCCGTCGTGCAGCATCTTCTCATTGATGGGGTACGTTGTTTTGTCGGGGAAGATACAGGTTGAGAGGCACGACACGAGCTTTTGGACACCGTAGACACGGCAGCACTCCAGAACATTGTTGTTTATGGCAACATTGTCAAGCCACATCTCGACGGGCTGTTTCATGTTTTTAAAGAGGCCGCCAACCTTCGCCGCCAGGTGAATGACGTGTGTCGGCTTGTACTTCTCGAAGACGGCCTTCGTTGCCTCCATCGACGTGAGGTCGGCGTCTCGGCTTGAGAGGAACACCCACCTTTCATCCGCGCGGGGATCGCGCTGCTGCACCGTTTCGATGGCCTTTCCAACAAGACCGCTTCCGCCAGTTACCAGAATGACGCTTATTGGCATATTTTTTTTTAGTTCAAGCTATCCCCGCATATAGGCAGAAAGACGGGAAGAAGGAGGCGAGTGAAAGGAGTCGAAGAGAGGTTGGAAGGTAAGTAAAAATGAAGAAAAGGGGGGGAGGGGGGCAGAAAAAAGAAAAAAAGTGAAACTCCACTGGTTCGGGTCGCAGGGATCTAGCAACACACACCCAGCCGCAGCAACGCAGAGTGTGGTGCAATTTTTGTCGCTCATGGTTAACTATACATCACCCTTCGTCTCTAGCGCAGTGTCAGTGCTTCACACGGCTCTCCCATTGGGCAAACTTCTCCCACACGTCCGGCCTTGACTCACCCGCCCGCGCAGCGCCCACTGACAGGCGAGACGCAACAGCGCCCATCGCACGCTCCATCTTAAGCGCCGTTCGGCTGGTGAGGGGATCGGCAACGAGAGGCTCCAGCGCACGCATTATCTCCTCTTCCATCTCCTGCAGAATATCCTCGTCGGACATCATCCACCCGCGCACGGCACTCTCGTCACCCGCCTCATCGGCGCTGTGTCTATCTTTCTCTTCCTCCGCCTCAATCTCCTTCAGGACAGCCTCCTGCACTGCCTCAACCTCCTTCTGATGCCTGTACGCGTTGCGGTATGCCGCCTCCGTGACGTCAAGGGTCTTTTTGGAGGCGTAGAACTCCGCCTCGATAACACAACGTTCGTCTGTCTCTGCAGCACAAATATCAGTCCTGTTACGCTCTTCCGCAGCTGCCATCTCCGACTGCTCGGCACGCCACTTACAGCGCAATGCCTGGAATCGTTCCATCTCAACAGCACGCTTCTCTTCCCATTGTTTAGTCAGTCTATCACGAACCTCACGGTTTTCATCCATGCGGTCCACCAAAACCTTCACACAGCTTTCCAAGTGGTCTTTTTTCTCGCGCCGTATAGCTTCACGCTCCATAGCCTCAGCAGCATCGCCGCCAGCTCCCCACGCCTCAACCACACGCCGCTCCTCCGCAAAGACAGGGCGTTCGTCTAAGTACGTCAGTTGAGGAAGCCGGAGAATCATGTTGCGCCTGTACCCCTTCAGGCCACGAGTACCAGGGTTTCCATGAAAGTAGATGACGCTCACTTTTGGCAGCTGCGCAAAGAAATCCATTGGCCCCAAGTCTTCCTCTCCCACCTCTATTTTATTAAAGGAAAAATCGACACTCGTCAGAGTCTCCTTCAGGCCCCATAGTTCGGTGCAGGCGTCTAGGCTTCCGATGTGGTTGTGTGAAACCTGAAATGTCTCCAGCTGCGGGCATGCAACGGCGAGACCAGAGAGGGACGTCAGGTAGTTGTGCGACAGATTGAGGACTCGTAGATTACTCAGAACCGCGAGGGTGCAGAGTGATGAAATAGTGTTGTTTTGGACAAAAAGGGAAACTAACTGCTGCAGCCCGTCCAACCCTGAGAGCTCGCTGATGGCGTTCTGCTCCAGCCACAAGACCTTGAGATTTACGTAATCTTTCAGGTTTGAAATGCGCAGAAACCCCCGACACTGGAGAAACAGTTGGTCATTCAGATGTGGTGCCGCATAACCGCCGTGGTTTTTACACGCGGCCATCAGTACCTCACTTGTCATTTCTGTCATTGTCAATGCTTCTTACCTTTCCTTGGAGCAACAGCACCAACAATAGAGGAACGAGGAAGACACCGAAGGACAATACCAGCGTGGAACGCATCCAATATTTTACTATTATGAAAACAGGAGTGGAGAACGGGCGACACAGCCCACTCCCCTCTTCCCCCTGTGGGAGACTGCCATAAAAATAACAAGAACAAAAAAGGCTGTTCACGATCGACTCTTTTTTCTTGATTCTCCTCATAGATAATCGCGAACATTAAGCCGTTGACTACAATGCGGCCGAAGTGGAACCAACAGTGACAGGGTACGGTTGAATGTCCGCTTCACTCGCTGACAATTGTAACTGCTCGAAGGCGCTTTCGAGGGTTACTCTCAGATCATGGTATGAAATGACTAAGATAGTGTTCCCATCATCATTTCCGATAAGCTGCACAAGCTCCTCGGAGCCACAATCGAGCTTGTTCAAAGAGTGAAAAACGTGACCCCAGTCTAAACGTGTACGGTGCTGCTCATCAACCTGGTTGAAGACATACTGGCTGAAGAGTCGCAAAGCGTAACGGTTGTGTGCCTCTGCGCTGTGGTCAGGGACTTCGTGAAGCGATTCTAAAACAAAATTGAGTTTTACCATCAGTCGCATGAGCCGTCCATTGTGCGCCTCTTTAGCACACTGTGAGATCAAGTAGTCGGCGTGGCCTTCTTGGTGCGCCACTTCCATTGACATTCGTTCTCCCAACGCACGACACAGACTTGCAACGTCTGCGTTGCCATCGAGACATGCCTTTACAAGGGTCCAGAAGCTTTCTGAGAACCCAGTCGCTGGCTGGCTGGTAAAGTCATCCGGCCGCACATTTAGGCTGCGCGTAGAAAGCTGGAGAAGCACGAGCCCCAACGCTTGTACGTCCTGCTTCATCATCGCCCCTATACTACTGTTAGCGGCCTTCGGATCCACCAAGTCCACAAGCCCTATGCCACTGAAGTAGAATCGCCCCGTTACAGGAACGTACAAAATCTTTGTCCAGTGAAGTCCACGCAACGGTGTGGCAGTTTCATGAAAAGCGCGCATGAGACCGACCATCTGGCAGGCGAATGACCACATAAGGCCTTCAGTCACTTTTCCCTCGACAAAGAATGCCTCACGAAGACTCTTTGCACCTGAAATAAACTTGTACTCCATAATAACATCGTTGCTTCCCATGATAAACTCATCTGTGGCTATCACACCCGTCAGTGGGACTAGGTTGGGGTGCCGATAGTGTCGGAACTGCTCATTGACAGCACTACAGTCTTCTGCAGTGGCAGTAGTTTTGACGAGGCGCCGCAAAGCGATGTTTTTTCCTGTATAGCGTGCTGTAGTTTGATATACCTGCATTCTTAACTTCGAATTCATTAGACTGACCGTCGCTTCATTCTCTATGTTGTAAATTGTCGTGTATTGAGCGAACTTGGAGCTGGTAACAGGTGTAACGTTGCGTGTGTTGGAGCGCATCAAAAACGACACATTTGGTCGTGTGTTTCTCACAGCATTAGACATGAATAGGTGACCCACTGGCGTATACGGTGTAGATGGGAACGGATCAGCCAACGCCTGGCAATACGGATCGGCCAACTGAGGAGTGTTGTAAACCGAGGTCGGTGAGGCGACAAACGCGTTCGCCAACACACTGCCCCCACTGTTCACGTGACGGCGCCCGTACGGATGCTGAATGTTATTCGTATTGGCTGCACTGTTCACCATATTCCCTCGTCCAACCAAGCCACCCTTCGCGCCACGCCCCTTTGAATCCATGTCTTGAAAACAGATGAGTGAAGACTACTCTACGGAATTCCTCATACTAACAGTTGGGTGAAACAAAAAAGAACAACATACAAAGGCAAAGGACTTGGCAATTACAACGGTTGACGGGGCCCCTGTTATATATATATATATATATATATATATAT